GTAGGAAAAAACGGAACTCAATTCCGAGTTAAAACGAACCCGAACGAGCAAAAATCGTAAGATGGTGCAGTGCAGATTTTGGTCTCCGCGGCCGCGGGATTTTCTTCGCCGCGGCCGCGGCGAACAAAAACAGCCAGGTCCCAAATTTCAGCAGCAAAAAGTCGCGGCCGCGGGATCAGGTCGCGGCCGCGGAGGTCGCGACAGCAGGGTTTTAAAAGCAGTTTTCAGATTCGTTTTTAGGGAGTTTTTGGCGAGGTTTGAACACCTCTCGACCGGGGTGAAAACCCTAGGTCCCGAGAGAACACAAAATCTCTTTCTCCTCTTTTCTTTCTTCTTCTTCCTCGTTCCTTTTCTTCTCTTAATCATTATTTTCCATTTTTCTTCTTCTTTTTCTTAGTTAGGGATTAAGCTTGTAACTCGAATTCAACATCTAAACTTGGATTGATTGTAAGTATTTCTTTCTCTTGTTTAATTCATGAATAATGGTTGACTTGAGTAGAATGATTATATTTGTTGAATTTGATTTATGTAGCTAATTCCTTCTGCTAGGGATAGGGGATGATTGTTCTTGATTAATTTCGTTATTATTGGGCTTTAATTTGTTCCTGCTTGTGCGAGTTGCTTTAATTAGAGTTAATTAATTCTTACTTGATAACTTGATATAATCGAAGGGTGACACTTCGATCTTGCAATTGGTATCAACTGAATGTTAATTTGTCGAGTTAGGGTTTGTTGGTTCTATATGATTAGTTGATTAAACACCTTCTAGTTGAATTAGCGACTTTTAGAACCGAAAGGGGAGAAGTCGTAGACCTAGGCTCGCATGAGATAGATGATTTCGTAACTGAATAGTCTATAGGTTTTGGATTGAAATACACACTTGCCGATGACCCGTCTCTTGTTACGAAAAGTTATTGAGACTGGGATAATTGACATGTGTTGTATGCTTGAGCTAGCTCGTCTATGTTCAATCCCTTGTTACGAAGAGTTATTGGGAGCGAACCGCTAGATGTCTAAGCGAGAGTGTCAATCTCAAACCGAACAATTGATTGCCCGGTTTTGCTTAGAACTTGAATAAATTATCCCCGATTTCCTAGCTTCTTTATCGCTTTCTAGTTCGTACTTTAGGTTCGTTTTTGTTTGCTGTTGATTTCTTAGTTGATAATATATTCCTCATTTCCGATTAGAGTGTTTAGGTTTTTATCTTCTTTTTGTGTGAAATCAATACCGAAGTTAAATTCCGAACCGCCTTCCTCGAGAGATCGACCCGGGAAACGAATCCTTGATTCGGTACTCGGTAAAAATAACAATTTGTGCTACAACACATATAAATCGCACAAGTAACATGTATCATACTAAAATATATAATAATATATACTCCCTCCTATTTTTATTATTTGTCACTTTGGCTTAATTGATATCATAGATAAAATAATGTCGTTTTAGATACTTTGTTCATATTTTTTCATTTTTAACCCTCCATCTAATACACAATGTCTCTTCATATCACATCCCATAAAATCCATTAAATAGGGTTAATATTGTCAAGAAAAAAAATCTTAGTTAGTGTATTGCATTTGAATTGATATTATGAAGTCCGTTTGTATTTTACTATTTATATATATATATATATATGATTTTATATATATATATATATATATATATAATACAAAACAGTAATATATATCCTTATAAATATAATTTAAATTTATTTATCAAACTAAATTAAATTATATCAAATAAAACTATAAATTATATTATAAAGTAATAGAAATTGGTATGTATTCTTTTAAAAATAATATTTGTTTCAAATCTAATTGGTATGTTGTCAATGTAATAAAAATAAATAATTATTTATATAAATTCTAAAATTACATATAAAGTTAAAAAAACTGTGAAGCACGATTGATACGACACTTGGTGTATTAGACATCTAATTAAGTAAAAAAAAATTAATCTATTTTGCTTAATATTAAACATATTCTACACTTATGCATATACATATCACCATATTATTTCTATTTATTTAAGATATATATTTTTATACTTATGTAATAGTAAATAATATCGATATTTTTATATGATATAAGTAAGAAAATTCATCACGGGTTGACATTTCATTTAATGTACGGGTGTTTAATTATTATGATTAAAAAAATATAATTTAACAATTTAATTAAAACCAAACGTAATGTTTTAGATAAAATTAAATTTTTTTAGTTTTTTAAAAAAATAAAAAATTTATTATTTTTTACAAAAGCTTTCTAATTCAACACCCGTGTAATACACGGGTATTATACTAGTACAACGTTAATTTTAAAAATATAAGAGAAATATGTCGTATAAGTGGCAAGTATTATTATAAAAATAAATTTTAATATAACTTTTTAAGAAATATTTGAAACCAAAAACAATTATTATTATTATTATTATTATTATTATTATTATTATTATATTTTGGTATAAACAATTTATTGGGAATCACATAGTAACAAGTTAAAATAAGGTCGGGATTAAAGATGCAAAAGCTTAAAAAAACGTGTAACTCAAGTCGCAGCATAAGAACATCTATTAATATATAAAGAGGTAACCTAAATAATCTTTAAATAGTAACTAAAAAATCAGCTGAAATCCCGCCAAAAAATATAACTAAACATAGAAACTTTTTTTTGAAAATTTTCGCAATATGCCACCTCTTATTAAATCGTTTGAATTTTTCGAAAATTCAAAATATTTTGTCAATATCTCAAATCTTCATTTGTCATTTCAAATTTTCAGACCATGTTAATCTCTATTATTAAGGATTTCGTGTTTACTAAACATAGAACTTTTTATTTGAATTTTGGAATTTGAACTGCATGTTAATCTCTATTATTGCGGATTGATAGTATTTGTTCCTTTCAAAACATCCAACATAAAATAACATTTTTTTGAGTGAAGAAATCAATTTACCTGCTCCGAAAAGATTATGGCATTGGTATTCCCTACGATCACGCGCTAACTGTTTTTTTTTTCTTTTAATAAAGGTCTCATAAAATAAAGTTTTTAACTCACTTTAAATAAATCAACTTATCAGAGAAAGTTACTCATTTTGTTTATTTATTTACTAAAATATTCTCATTCTTATTACTTCAACTATTGCACAATTAAATATTTTGTAAGGTGTACAAATCGTATTATTTTGTAGTTGCATTAATAATCTCAACTATTTATTTTGAGTATATCACTATAAAATAAGAAATTAATTTTCAAAATATCATAGTCAATATAGGTTCAAATTCATGGTATATCACTTTAGTGGGAGTGAACTCCAAATTATTAAAAAAAAAATGACTTATGATATTATATAATACTTAAAATATCAGTAAAAATAATATATGCTATATTAGTTAATTTTATAAAGATTTAAATAGTGAACAATCATTACTTTAATTCTCTTGAATATTGTGTGTATAATGAGAGGGAGCGAGATCAACGGGAGAGGGTCGACTTGAGTCGACTGTACAAACTTTTCGAAGCGAAGTGAAGTCAAGATTTGGTGGGTACGAGGTCTCCACGCGAAAGGAGAGGAAGGGGTTACTGGCAAAAAACGATGAACTAATCCACCTTAACTTTTAAATTCAATGAATTAATTTAATCACACAAAATGAAAAAAAAAATCTTTCTGTTTTGGTTGTTAATGAGATAGATTTATATTCTTTATGGATTTTTACTCCTTATCAAAATGTTTGAATCATCCAACTATTTAATATGATATTTATTAAATAACATACTCTTTTAAGTTTTATTGAATTTTATTCAAAATTCATATATTTATTAAATACAATACTCTTTTAAATAAAAAAAATTACGTGCATGACTTTTTTTTAATTCAAATTCAATTTGACATCACGATTTCATTTTAATTATTCATAAATAACGACGTGATCGGTCGACTAAATTATATATATTTATTTCATCACATTTGTATAAAAAATCTAATTTCATTCTGTTATATAATAAAAATCTTGTGATATATGGATATATGAAATGAGTGCTATTTATTTTGTTTCATGTAGGTATCGTCACTCAAGAATAACATAGAATAATTGAGTTGTATTTTGACAAGTTTTGTAAGAATAATTTAGAAAAATTTTGGTGAATCTTCACAAATAATATAGAATGTTTTAGGTACTTTTAGACATGATATTTAACATTTTAGGTACTTTTAGTGTTTTAGGTAGGCATGTTTTATATGTTTTTACTCAAAATAATTTTCAATTAGCTTTAATTAATTAATAATGGTTGGCATTTGTTAATTTCCAATAAATTAATGTAATTTAAACCATAGTTTTCAAACCCGGCCCGGGAATCGACCGGGGCAGCTCTCCGGGTCACCGGTTCAACCGCTGGGTCACCGAGCCAATTGCTGAACCGGATAATTAATATTAAATTTTTTAATATTATATATAGAGTATTTTGTCATATAAATATGCATAAAAATAACAAATTAAATATTTTGTATATAAAATTTATACATTAAAATGTTAATAATATGTATCTCGTGATAAATATTTACCATATAATTATATATATATATAGTTTTATTTTTAAAAACAAAAATTATTTAAAAAAACAAAAAAAAATAAAAAATTACATATAGGGGCCGAGTCAACTGGGTTGACTCGACCGGGTCAATGCCCCGAGTCGACAGGGTCAAGACCGGGTTGGCCGAGTTTTGACCAGGTCCTTTGTTGCCCGGTCCAAATAGCCCACCCGGACCGGTTCCGACTCTGAATTAATTGGGTCCCGGGTCGACCCGCTGGACCAGTCCTGGTTGAAAAACAATGCTTTAAACCATATTACACGTTAATCCAATATTTTTAATTTAAAAATATTATTTAATACTATTTACTCGTGCATAGCACGGGAACTGTACTAGTTCAGCAATATCCACCGTACATGAAACGACCATTGATTCTCAAAGCTTGTCAAAACTCAAAAACTTCACAACAAGCAGCCTTAAACTTAGTTGAACACCAATTAGGGAAAACTATAAAAACCACACAGAACATTAGTTACACTATGACCACGCATCACATGTAAGAATTCTCAAGACCATATACAGAGAAGCTCACTAGCCAAAACAGAAAAAAACTTCCCAATGATAAAACCCTATGTTTTCTTGTCAGAAAAAAAACACAATAGACACTCTTCGTTTCAACACAAAAACTGTATCCGAACTCAAACAACCTTTCCGCGATCATTCCAAAACAAAAGAGAACCAAATAACTTAAATCCAAATACAAAAAGAGTTAAATCACGAAGAAACCCTCGAGTTTTTAATCCTAACCACCACAACAAACCACAGCCATCTTTCAACATTAACAGTACCCCCCTACATGTACTATGGAGGTACTTGTAATTTCAAAACATAACTAGGTTCTCTTTATAATTATGTCAAACCTCAAAGGTAGTTTGTTTAGTAAGCAAACCCCCAATAGCAGCTTTCTGGGCCCATCCCAGAAAATGCAGAAAAATAATTAAAAAAAAAAAAATAGTGCAGTAATAACAATAACCTCACTTTCCAGCATGAAGGCTTTGATCAACTGGTGATCCTGGTATGTATGGAACAAATCCTCGGCCACCGAAAACCGGGCGCATAAAAGCATCATCAAATTTTCTCCAATAGTAATGGACTGTTCGTGTGGGTTTTGTGAGAAGCAGGCGTAAGCCACTTAGGCGGGCTGGTGACTCATCGGCTTCCGAGCCTAGCCTGTGGCCGAAAAGGTCAACCTCAGAATCTTGACTTTCTTCGAGAAGGGGCACATTCAAGGATTTTGGGGTGATGGGCTCTGAAGAAGCCATTCTGCTTAAATTTTTGGAAGAGGGCATAAGGTGTCTCACGAGAGGTTTCGTGAACAACCCAAAGACCTGCAATGGCCATGAAAAGAGTTTGTTAGTTCATCATTCAAAAAGTAAGAACTAAATGTGGTTGAAACCAGAAGTTGTCGTTAGTAAAATATGGGGTTACTATTATTAGTAAGTTGTAAAAGTGCTTTATCAATAGTCAGAATACCTCAAGTTTTAAATTTTTATTTAATCATGAAAGTGGATAGTTGGAAGGTTTAAAAAAATGAAATGTTTATATATATATTAGTGTTTGCCTTCTCCAATCAGACACTAACAATCATTTGGCTATGTTTGGATTGAGGGATTTGAAATCCCCTTGATTCAAACACTTTGAAAATCGAATTTGCTACTTCCAAACTCGTGTAGATTTGTGTAAAGAATTATATATCCATTGTCTGGCCTGCGACGGAAAATGTAGAATAAAGAATGGATTGCAAATGACTGAGTTTGACAAGTCATTTGAAATCCTGACTAAAATCCATCTAGTGTGAATTTAAATCCTCCAATTTCTATTATCATCCGAACCTGTGTGAGGATTTGAACTTGGAAATTTAAAATCCATAGGTTTCAAATCTCTCACTCCAAACATAGTGATTACATTGCTCCCTAGACGAAATTTTCAATGTACGAGTATACTATAATATAAGTTAGCTTACTGGTAACCATGAGTTTGTAGGACTTATATCTTACCACAGTGCTGAAAAGCACAATTGTAATGGTACTAGTAATCAATATGGCATTTCCACGTAATTGGGTGTGACCAGACCTCGTAAACTGCAACACCAAAGAAAAATTAAAATTAAATTTGGAAATTGGGATGTACTCACGAGCCATCTTTTCCCTTATATTTTTTCCACAATATTACGTCATCATTTTTAAGAGAAGTAAGCAGAACAAAAAAAAAAATCACCTGATTGTAAGCTAGGGCCATTGACACAGCACCACGCATAAGACCAGCCCACCATATTGTAACCTGCCAAATCACCATTTTTCTAAAATACTTCAATAGGCAAATCAAATCAAAGTCTTTTGGAAGTAGAAACAGGGGTCCTAGAGCTCATACTTGCTGCTTAAACTCGATTTTCTCAGACTTCTTGGTCAAGTTAGACAAAAAGGACAAGGGGAAAACAAAGGCTGCCCTTCCAAGCAAAACCAATCCCAATAAAGTTGCGCTCACCTTGAATAAGGTTTTTGGACTGAAGAATTAAGTAATCATAAGATAAGGTGAGAAAACTGACGAGGCAAAAACAGTAAAGGAAATAACAAACTTAATTGAACCACTCAGGGAAATATTTTAATTTAAATTATCCGTGTAAGTATGTCCACAAATAATACATAAGATACCTGTCACTAACAACTCTCCACTTTTCAATATCAAGAGCATCCATGCCGACATAAAGAAATATGCATGTCTCAGCAACAAATGACAATGTTGCAAAAGTATGTCTGCATTGTTGTTAATGATAAACGTCTATCATAAATGGAA